ACTGCACTAGATGGAAGCACTCCTAAGGCTAAATAGATGTAACCAAAGAAAATAAAATCACAGCAAAGAGAGCAGACCAACCAAATACAAACTAAAGGCAAAAAATAAAATCAAATATCCACAAAAGCAGTCAAAGGAAACACAAAAGAGTACACAATAAAACACCCAACAGATGAAGAATGAAGGAGGAAGAATAAGAAGGGAGAGAAAAAAGGAATAATCACACTGTGTTTATAATAGCTTAATAAGAGAGTTAAGTTAGATGGTTAGATAGTAAAGAAGCTGCCCTTGAATGTTCGGTAACCACAAATCCAAAGCCTACAACGGCAATAAGTACATATCTATTGATAATCACCCTAAATGTCAATGGATTGAAGGCACCAATCAAAAGACACAGAGTAACAGAATGGACAAAAAAGAAAGACCCATCTATATGCTGCTTACAAGAGACTCACCTCAAACCCAAAGATATACATAGACTAAAAGTGAAGGGATGGAAAAAGATATTTCATGCAAACAATAGGGAGAAAAAAGCAGGTGTTACAGTAATTGTATCAGACAAAATAGACTTCAAAACAAAGAAAGTAACAAGAGATAAAGAAGGACATTACATAATGATAAAGGGCTCAGTCCAACAAGAGGATATAACCATTATAAATATATATGCACCCAGTACAGGAGCATTGACATATGTGAAATAAATACTAACAGAATTAAAGGAGGAAATAGAATGCAATGCATTCATTTTAGGAGACTTCAACACACAACTCACTCCAATAACAGATCAACCAGACAAAAAATAAGTAAGGACACAGAGGCACTGAACAACACACCACAACAGATGGACCTAACAGACATCTACAGGACTCTACACCCAAAAGCAGCAGGATACACATTCTTCTCAAGTGCACATGGAACATTTTCCAGAATACACCACATAATAGGCCACAAAAAGAACCTCAGTAAATTAAAAAAGATTAAAATTCTACCAACAAACCTGTCAGATCACAAAGGTATTAACTAGAAAAAATTGTACAAAGAAAACAAAAAGGCTAACAAACACATGGAGGCTTAACAACATGCTCCTAAATAATCAATGATCAATGACCAAATAAAAACAGAGATCAAGCAATATATGGTGACAAATGACAACAACAACACAAAGACCCAACTTCTGTGGGATGCAGCGAAGGCAGTGCTAAAAGGAAAGTATATACCAATCCAGGCCTATTTAAAGAAGGAAGAATAACCCGAAATGAACAGACTAAAGTCATAATTATTGAAACTGGAAAAAGAAGGACCAATGAAGCCCAAAATCAGTAGAAGGAGGGACATAATAAAGATCAGAAAAGAAATAAATAAAATTGAGAAGAATAATACAATAGAAAAAAATCAATGAAACCAAGAGCTGGATCTTTGAGAAAATAAACAAAATAGATAAATCCCCAACCACACTTATTAAGAGAAAAAGAGAATCTACACACATCTACAGAATCAGAAATGAGAAAGGAAAAATCATGACGGACCACACAGATATACAAAGAATTACTAGAGAATACTAGGAAAATCTATATGCTAAGAAGCTGGAAAACCTAGAAAAAATGGACAACTTCCTAGAAAAATACAACCTTCCAAGACTGACCAATGAAGAAATAGAAAATCTAAACAGACCAATTACCAGCAACGAAATTGAATTGGTAATCAAAAAACTACCCAAGAACAAAATCCCTGGACCAGATGGATCTGCCGCTGAATTTTATCAAACATTTAGTGAAGACCTAATACTCATTCTCCTTAAAGTTTTCCAAAAAATAGAAGAGGAGGGAATACTTTCAAAGTCATTCTATGAAGCCAGCATCACTCTAATACCAAAACCAGGCAAAGACGCCACCAAAAAAGAAAATTACGGAGCAATATCCCTGATGAACATAGATGCAAAAATACTCACAAAATATTAGCAAACCAAATTCAAAAATACATCAAGAGGATCATACACCATGACCAAGTGGGATTCATCTCAGGGATGCAAGGATGGTACAAAGTTAGAAAATCCATCAACATCATCCACCACATCAACAAAATGAAGGACAAAAACTGCACGATCATCTCCATAGATCCTGAAAAAGCATTCAACAAAATTCAACATCCATTCGTGATAAAAACTCTCAACAAAATGGCTATAGAGAGCAAGTACCTCAACATAATAAAGGCCATATATGACAAACCCACAGCCAAAATCATACAGCAAGAAGCTGAAAGCTTTTCACCTAAGATCGGGAACAAGACAAGGATGCCCACTTTCCCCACTTCTTTTCAACATAGTACTGGAGGTCCTAGCCATGGCAATCAGACAACACAAAGAAATAAAAAGCATCCAGATTGGCAAGGAAGAAGTTAAACTGTTCCAGTTTGCAGATGAGATGATATTGTACATAAAAAACCCTTAAGACTCCACTCCAAAATTACTAGAACTAATATCTGAATTCAGCAAAGTTGCAGGATACAAAATTAATACACAGAAATCTGTGGCATTCCTATATACTAACAATGAACTAGCAGAGAGAGAAATCAGGAAATCAATTCCATTCACAATTGTATCAAAAAGAATAAAATACCTAGGAATAAACCTAACCAAGGAAGTGAAAGACCTAGACACTGTAAATTACAAGACACTCATGAGAGAAATTAAAAAATACCAATAAATGGGAACACATCCCATGCTCATGGATAGGAAGAATTAATATTGTCAAAATGGCCATCCTGCCTAAAGCAATCTACAGATTCAATGCAATCCCTATCAAAATACCAACCGCATTCTTCAATGAACTAGAGAAAATCGTTCTAAAATTCATATAGAACCACAAAAGACCTCGGAGGGCTAAAGCAATTCTGAGAAGGAAGAATAAAGTTGTGGGGATGATACTCCCCAACTTCAAGTTCTACTACAAACCCAGAGTAATCAACACAATTTGGTACTGGCACAAGAACAGACCCATATACCAATGGAACAGACTAGAGAGCTCTGATATAAACCCAACCATATATGGCAATGAATATATGATAAAGGAGCTATGGACATACAATGGGGAACTAACAGCCTCTTCAATAGCTGGCATTGGCAGTACTGGACAGCCACATGTAAGAGAAAATGAAACTGGACTATTATTTAACCACACATACAAAAGTAAACTCGAAATGGATCAGAGACCTGAATGTAAGTCATGAAACCATAAAACTTTTAGAAGACAACACAGGCAAAAATCTCTTGAATATAAGCATGAGCAACTTCTTCCTGAATGCATCTCCTTGAGCAAGTGAACCAAAAGCAAAATGAGTTCATGGAACTACATCAAACTAAAAAGTTTCTGTACAGCAAAAGACACCATCAACAGAACAAAAAGGCATCCTACAGTATGGGAGAATATATTTGTCAATGACATATCCGACAAGGGGTTAACATCCAAAATATATAAAGAACTTACACGCCTCAACACCCAAAAAGCAAATAACTCAATTAACAAATGGAGAGAGGATATGAAGAGACAGTTCTCCAAAGAAGAAATTCAGATGGCCAACAGACACATGAAAAGATGCTCCACATCACTAACCATCAGGGAAATGAAAATAAAAACCTCAATGAGGTATCACCTCACAGCAGTAAGGATGGCCAGCATCGAAAAGACTAAGAACAACAAATGCTGGTGAAGATGCAAAGAAAGGGGAACCCTCCTACACTGCTGGTGGGAATGTAAGCTAGTTCAACCATTGTGGAAAGAAATATGGAGGTTCCTCAAAAAACTGAAAATAGAAATACCATGTGACCCAGGAATCCCACTCCTTGGAATTTATCCAAAGAGTACAGCTTCTCAGATTCAAAAAGACATATGCACCCCTATGTTTATCGCAGCACTATTTACAATAGCCAAGATATGGAAGCAATCTAAGTGTTCGTCAGTAGATGAATGGATAAAGAAGAGATGTGGTACATATACACAATGGAATACTATTTGGCCATAAGAAAGAAACAAATCCTACCATTTGCAACAGCATGGATGGAGCTGGAGGACATTATGCTCAGTGAAATAAGCCAGGCGGAGAGAGACAAGTGCCAAATGATTTCCCTCATTTGTGGAGTATAACAACGAAGCAAAACAGAAGGAACAAAATGGCAGCAGACTCAGAGACTCCAAGAAGGGACTAGTGGTTACCAAAGGGGAGGGGTGTGGGAGGGCAGGTGGGGAGGGAGGGAGAAGGGGACTGAGGGGTATTATGTTTAGTACACATGGTGTGGGGGATCACGGGGAGAACAGTGTAGTACAGAGAAGGCACACAGTGGATCTGTGGCATCTTGCTGCACTGATGGACAGTGACTGCATTGGGGTATGGGTGGGGACTTGATAATATGGGTAAATATAGTAACCACATTGTTTTCTCATGTGAAACCTTCAAGAGTGTATATCAATAATACCTTAATAAAAAATTTTTGAAAAGTAACCAGAAGAAGAACAAAGAAACTGAAGGAACAAAACAGCAGCAGACTCACAGAACCCAAGAATGGACTAACAGTTACCAAAGGGAAAGGGACTGGGGAGGATGGGTGGGAAGGGAGGGACAAGGGGGGGGAAAAGGGGCATTACGATTAGCACACATAATGTGGTGGGGAGGGGGTCACAGGGAGGGCTGTACAACACAGAGAACACAAGTATAGTGATTCTATAGCATCTTACTATGGTGATGGACAGTGACTATAATGAGGTATGTGGTGGGGACTTGAATGATGGGGGCAGTCTAGTAACCATAATGTTGCTCATGTAATTGTAGATTAATGATACCAAAAAAAAAAAAGGGCTTACAAATCCAATACACTGACAACCTTATGCAAATTTTAAGGTTATATAAATGTTATACATTTAAGATTAATTAAATGCCAATCTTCATAGTAAAACTCTGCTCAAGTTCTAAACTAATGAAAATGATCTGAGGAATTGCATTCAAGTTACCTCAGGCATTCAATCATTCGAGAAGCAATTTTCTTCCGACGCATCATGCTGAACACCCATATTCGACTGATGCCACAGATTGCAGGCTCTGGCAATGTAGAACAGCACCAGGCTTTCTGCCTTTCAAATCTGACTTTTTCTTCTTCTGATCTGATAACTGGAAGTTTCTCTTCTATAACTCTATAGCCCTATAGGTATCAAAATTGGGGGTAGATTTTTAGGTGAGATTATCAATTATCAATTGACTAGCTGTCTAGTTCTATTCTTAGTAAGGAGATCACTTCATTTGTCCTGCTTCTTAAGAAAATATTGGGACCACTTATGTTTTTCATTCTCATTTTAGGAAATAGACCTAGATCTATATTCTGTTCTAATTCACTTACCAGTTATGTGACCATGAGATGAAGTAACTCATTTAAGCTTTGGGTTCCTTACCTATAAATTGCAGATATCCATTACCTCTTTCAGAGAATTGTTGAGAAATCAAATAACGTATTATGTTAGTATATCCAAAGCACCTTGCCATCATGGCAGGCCCAGAATAGCCATGAATGTTAGTTTTCTCTACCTCCCACATGTCTAAGGACCAGCAAAAGTACATGTTAAGAACTCAGCAGTCATCAACAACTGCTTCTGTGACTGCTGCAATAGTTCCAGGGTTCACAGCTATGCAGGAACTAGGAATGGAGACGGCACAAGAATCAAGAGTTTAGAAAGGTCCTTTCCCCACACTCCCATTCCTTTGAAAAAACATAAAGTGCTTTTAAAAAATATACATCTCTGCCAGTCTAGTTGACAAACAGGACATGGCCAGCCATCTGATAGGACATGGTACAAAACTTAGACAACACAATTAAGAACACATACGATTGTACTTTAAATTTTAAAAAAAAGAAGAATTAACAAAAATCTAACAAGCAAATATTATGTAACTATTCTCTAGTTTAAACACTGCTACAAGTTATTTTTCAGAACTAAGTAAAATAGAAATTTAAAAGACACAAGGGGTTTGGCACTTCGTAAAACAACTGAATTTCAGTATGGCATTGAATTTATATCCCTGAACTACCTTATCAGCTCCTTTTAAAGGTGAATTATGTTATTATAAATAGCAAGATTCATAAAATTATACAATTTCAGGCCAAGTATTTTTTAAATATAGCTTAATATAGAGAAATTAATGCATGCAGACTTGTTTTGACTTGGCACTTTATTAGAAAATTTTATAATGAAGCATATACTTGCAGGCAACTATTAATACTAAAAGATACCCAATGAACAAAAGTAAAATCCAGTGTACACTGAATTCATGAACAAGAAGTAAGCTGAAAGAAGACAATTTAAATGGGGCATGCTTCAAAGCAAGCATGATTAGAGAGTCTTATAAGTTGGTCTGTTACTACGTAACTCTCATAATGTGAACATACCCCTTTCCTTGTGATCCTACTGAGTTTGACTCCTAAATACAAGCCAACTCCTAAACCTGGAGCTAAACCAAAGAAGTGGTGATCTATTCCAGGGGTGGGCAACTTTTTATAAAGGGCCAGGTGCAGCCCACCTGGCTTCTGCTGTAACTAGTCAACTCAGTCTCTGTAGTGCAGAAGCAGTCATAAACAGTTTTCCAACCCTTGATTTAGTCCAGTGCTGAAGGTACGGAAACAGACATTATATCTGTACCCAACATGGAAACTTCCTGACCCAATTTTAACAGTACTTTTGATTTAGAGAACTTTTATCTTAAAAACTGACTTGAGAAATAATTTTCTTGCAAGATACAACTCTACTAAACAGTTACACAGAGGAATTCCTACATTCATATTCTTCCTTATAAAATGTTGATAAATTTACCAGGATTGTGTTATTCAAAAGTATACAGTAAACTCTTTAAACATCAAGCTACATATGAACATTCTAAAAATCACTTACCCACTGGATGTGTTCTGCAATTAGGCAGCCAACTACTTTTTTGTCATTAGAAATAAAGAGAAGTGTTTTAGTTCTGGAATAGCACATTAATGGAGCCTGTTGGAAACCTAAATCATTATCAACCATCTCTCTAATCTCGTCAACCTGCCAAATAAAGAACAGCATTTTTTTTTAAACAACAGAAGCACTTACACATGTAAAAATACGCTATTTCAGTTCATTATTATTATTCCAAGCAGGACATCCTCTAAAAAGTTCTTTTTGAACGATTGTGCTGACTAGTAACATTTTTCAAGCCCTGTGGACCAATCTGTAAAATGGGGAACAAGAGGAGTAACTGCTCCTACAAGAGGCAGTAAGAACATTAAGGCCTCCCACTGAAGCATCATGGATTTGAGAACTGAGGAGAATTTCATTAGAATCTTACAAAGGCAAGCACTTTTCTTCGCAGCCTTAATTAGCACCCTCATAAGTAAAATTGAAGTGGGCACAAAGGAAAGGAAAACATGTTTACTCTTTATCAATAACAGTTTATAAGCCACACATTATACAAAGCACTGTATTATCTTACTTAAACCCAAAATCTCTTGAAGATCTAGAATTCCTTACTTTACATATAGAAGAAATAAAATTCAAAGGTAAGTAACTTTCCCATGTCAGATATTGGATGTCTAGAAAACCAAGGAGCAGGGATTTGAATCCATAATATTAATACAGTATCAAAACCTGTTTCCTCTTTTTTACCTTTCAGAACTGTGTCAAGGTCAAATACGACAAACTCAAACTTTTGTAGACACTCAAAACTCTAGACTTTTTTGTACGTACTTAAACAGTAGTTTCTTCCCCAGTTAAACAGTAATACTCAAATAGCAGTCCAATAAACATTCATTTGTGTTACTAAGTTTAAAATGAAAATAACCCCTAAGGAGGTTAAGTATTTATACCTCTGACATGAAAAATACCATGTAAAACATCCCTTATTCAGTGATAAAAACTCAATTCCTCCTAATCCTGAAAGGTATCCCAAAATACAACCCCAGATTCAGTTCCTGAGGCAGATGACTCACAATTCTCTAGATTTTCATTTTTAACCTATCATGGGTTACTAACTAGTAACAAACTGGATTGTAAGTTACTAATATTTTGCCCTGAGAAACTAAAATGAAGAAATCAACATTTACTGAGGATTTTTATTAAGAAAAGTCTGGATTCCACATATTGGTGGTGTAGCAAAAATCCACTGTGCATTTCCAAATGATGATATTTAGAATTCCAAAAATTCCCTAATTTAATTTTGGTTTAGTCAATCACTAATCCACCATTAATTCAACAAGTATTTATTTTTGTGCAGGGATCAGTGTTTCAAATACAAGAGCGGTGGCATATCTACATGCCATTTTAAGTGCTAATGTTTATACTGTTAGGAAGTGGTAGTCTGAGGGCTTTGGTAAATGGAATTGTCCTGAGAAGTCAGGAACCGCAAGATTAAGCAGAATGTTAACTATATTTTCAAATAATGGGTCCAAAGATTGCTCTTTCAACCTCCCTTTCAGGTGGAGTATCCTAAATTTAAAGAGGTCCAACTGTTAGCCTAAAAAAAGTACAATAAGTAAAATATATTCTTTGTATTACTAAACATTTTGGACACACTCTAGTACAACTGTTTCAGATACACAAATGGACCCATTGCTTTACATTATGAGACACTACTGAAGAAGCATCTGGAGGTTGAAGAAAAATGCTCTGAGTATATTATTTGAAAATTCAATTAATATATTATTTAAAAACAAGTTTTATCTTACAGCTTCCTGACTATTAAGATATTTATATAATAAAATGGTTCCAGACTTAGACATCTCTCTGGTTCATTTCTCTGAATTCTCAGAATTTGTAACTCTGTGTTGGACTAAAACCGGGCTCATACTATGTAAGAGGATTTTAAGTTTTCTATATCATATTTATAAACCAGACTATATCCTGTTTTTTTAACATTATATGATTACCTCATGTTTCATTTCAGGATTACTATAACCGGCTACTACTAGATCTCCTTCAGCAATAAACGTTACTTAGAAATTTACTCTCAGAAAGAACCTTTATAGTTATTAATTTTAATTTTCTAAGTTATTATGATTCAAATTTTAATTGTTAATGGGTTAATTCTGATTCTTGAAATCATTTATATGGCATTTTAACTTAAGGAGCATGCCTTCTATACCATCACTCAAATTACTGATATTGCAGGACAGTAACTAATTCACTAAAAATTCATTTCATATGTGCTAGACACATTACAAAGTTTAAGCATAGTTTTTCAGCTGGGTAGTATTATCACATGCTTATTTCTTGCCTTCAGAATTGGCGTTAAAATGTTACATCAGTAATGCATTATTCTCTTAAAATTAGCTGCAAAATTATATTATCAATTCTACATGAAATTTCACTGGTACTTTACCTTTTTCAGGGCATACTTTGGGTCTTCAGGAAGAACCATTATTATCCTGCCATCAGGATATTCAGCCAGAATTCTTTCTTTTTTCCATCCCTAGATATTAAAAGAGAAATGAATTTTATATATATTTCATTTGTTATATTCATGTACAAGAAGAGAAATGTATCAATATGTCTAAAAATTGCAAACATGGCAAAATATATGCTCATTCATGTTTAACTATTAAGACACAATAAATCAGCTATTATGTTAAGCATACAATGGGTACAATGCAAGCTAATTTCTCTCCACTACTCAAGAGGACAACAGGAATATTTCTAACTTATCACTTTCCATTTTAAATTCATTTTGAAAAATCACATACCAAAAGCAAGCCCCTTAAAGTCAGTGATGCCCAGAACCTAAAGAATAACTCTTCAGTTTCTTGATACATTAAGTTTCTTTGAAAATGGTTACCTCCACAAACACTCATGGTTTTATGTCTAGCATGCCAAAGACCTCCAGGAGGTTTTAAATGAACTGATTTGCATGCAGTAGCCCAATATGTAAGGAATAGTTTTCATTCTTATTGATCACAACTATCAAAGTCACAAGAAGGAGACTATAAAAATATAACTACCTTCTAAGAATCTAATAGGGAAGAAGCTACGTTGTGTGTATCTGAAGTTAAACATACTCAAAAAAAGAGAGGTAATAAACTCTTCTTCAGATCCACACTCGTGGTGATTAATGAGCAGAACCTGCATGAAAAAAAAAAAAAAGCCACTTAAATCTAGTAAGATGGGACTGAACCAGAGGTTAAAACTAGGAGCTTTGAAGTTAATAATAAGTACAGAAGGAATGAGCTTAACTGGTTGTTCCATTTGTCTTACCCAACAACTTTACATAAAAAAGCCTTTCAGGAAGCAGTATGAACTTCTATTAAAGAAAACCATCATCTTCTTTCTGAGATGTTTCTTTTAAGAATATGAAAAGCTCAATGAAACCAAGAAAAAGGCAGCTCTATTTTCTTTTAATACTATGGCAAGTCTAGTATAGCACAGAGAAGATAAGTACTACTCTGTAACATCTTACTATGCTGATGGACAGTGACTGTTATGGGGTATGTGATAGGGACTTGATAATAGGGGGGAATCTAGTAACCACAGTGTTGCTCATACGAAACCTGACCATAAGACTGTATATAAATGATATCTTAATAAAAAAAAAAATACTATGGCAAGTCTGAAAGAAGGCTGATTTCCTTAAACAATCCAAAATGTTTTTTGAGTACAAGAGTAGGATTTTAGCTGGGGACAAAAAGTTTAGTAACAAGTTTGGTATATGTATACGTAATTTGGGTTATACTAATTTAAAATGGGAATTTGTTTAAAAAAATAGAGCATCCAAAGGTAAAGTAAAATTCACGTGAATAAAATGGTAATTGGTAAGGTGTCAAGATTTGAAAAGGAGCAGAAACCATTGCACAGAAGTCATTTTTTTCAATTAGAAAATAAATCTGAATCATATCCAGATCTGAATATAGGTAAACAATTTTTAAAAGGCATAAAAGATATCACCTCTTTAAAAATAAATTTATATTAATATTTTATTTTTGGGAAAAACTTTTTAAATAAATCTGTCATAAAATGGAAATGGACACTTTCACTTTGAAAATTAAACTATAAACTCAATGAGGACCTAGAAATGTAAGTAATCTCAATTTACAAGAATAGGTCATACTTCCTGAACTAAATTAGCTATAATTTGATAAGCTATTTTCCTATTACCTTTAAAAACTGGTTTCATGTCATTATATTGCACCACAAACACCAAATTGTTTTTACTGACTTCTTGGTACAAAACTTTCTCTTAAAACAACCTGTGATTTGCATATTCATGCAGAAAATTTTATTACAACTGGATTTGACATGACTTTATGTTTTAAATATGATTGTTTTTTTCACATACATATGAGAAGCAGGAATTGCAAAAGGCAGAGTTACTATTCCTTGGGTTTTTAATATTCATGAAGACAGTGTATTTTAATGAAAAAATTTTAAGAGTTCTGGAGTGAAAGTTCATGTTTATAGCTTGGTAGTTACTGGCTACATGACTTTGGACAAATCACTGGAATTCGCATTCTGCCTCCTAATCCAGGCTATGAACAAAATGGCTGTTATTACCTTCACCACTTAGTAGTTAAGAAGATTGTATTCAAGATGATTCCTCACATAGAGCAGCCACTCAGTAACTCTACTTGCATTCTACCTTCCTACTGGTATCAAACTAAGATCAATGTGCACCACTCTAAGAAAACACAAGTTAATAAAATCCCCAAAGTTAAAATAAAATAAATTCAAATTTTAGACAAAGCAAAGATGGAAGAAGCAAGTTGGCTAATGTCTGTCAGAAAACATATTCAAGACAGACACCTCAATTGCCGTTAAGTATTTCCTGGAGTCAATAACCACATGATCCTCTAAAGAATTTAAAGATGAAGTCTGCTCCTTCAAACTGAGGCAAAGGTGGAAGTTGGGGGAAAAGGGCACATGCAATTTGGAGGAATAACCAAACAGCCACAGTGTCTGGCAAAGATATAAATTCCAGTGCAATGCATTTACACTTCTCACCTTTAGCTCTAAGGTTACACATATCCCTCTGCTAGCAAGTAGTATTTCCAAACCCCAAATTTTCTTATTCATCCACCTGACTGCTGGAAAGCAGAAAGCTTTATATTCCTAACAGCAGTCAATGATAATTTTTTGTTTCTTGCTATTGTACTTAACTCTAAATTCTAGAGTTTAAAGAATGGAAGGGATCTTTCTCCATTTAAAAAAAAGGTTAACACCTGAAAACAAAACACATTGGGTGGTGAATACACTGATGGATACAACTAACCCAAGGGACTAATATGAATGAGATACCTAATGAAAGAATACCTTAAGAAATAAAACCAACCAGCTTTCTTTTTTTTTTCTTGGTGTGTATGCATCAGCTTTATTGATTTAATTGTTTACTTTTAAACTAGAGAATACATAAGATACACCCACAATTTCACAAAAGTTATAAAGGGACATCTTGGAGAATAATATCAAATAGCTATAGTAATAGCAGGCTTCCTTATCTTGCTACCAATCTCAAAGGGAAAGCTGAAAACCAACCAGCTTTCTAAAAAAACTATCAACAAATATTGCAACCAAAAAAAGAGGGACAGCCTTTTAGAGTAAAAGCCTTTAGAGACATACCAACCAATAAAATATATGGACTTTAACTCAAACAAATAAATAGTATAGAAAATTGTATTTCAAAATCTTTGAACCCTGAGGCTGCTATTATCTCATATTAAGGAATTAGTTGATTTTTTTCAAAGTGTGATTACATCTTTAAATCATTGTTATGATAAAAAAGAATATCTTTTCCTCTTTTAGAAATACATATTTTAAAATATCTACTAAAATGATAATGTGATATACCTGGAGTTCACTTCAAAATAATTAGGTAGGTTGGATGAAAGACTGTCCGTGCATGGTTAACTGATGAGGCTGGGTGCTGAGTACATGAGTGTTCATTATTGCACATGGGTGTGTTGTATTACACTCTTTATTTTGGAAACCTCAAATCACCCATCATCAAAACAATACCAACAGCCCATGGCCTGCTCTAGAATCATATACTGAGAAGTGAAAAATAATGTAAAATTGATCTAGTCACCAGAGCAGTTAGGCCTGAGGTGGGAAAAGTAGTGACTGCAATGGGGGCCCAAGGGGGCTTCTGAAATGCTGGTTATGTTTCCTGTTGGATAGGAGTTCACTCTGTCCACTCTGTCAAAGTACACCATTAAGCTGTACATTCATTATTTGTGTACTTTTTTTCACATGTTGTATTTCAATAAAAATTTTACTTAAAAATAATTACTAAAGCAATTTGAAAAACAGACACTTTAGTTCAATAGCAAATCGAATCATTGTTATATGCTTAAGTATCTTTTAAAAACCATCTTTTTAAAAATCTTAAGTCTTCAAAAACAAAAGCAAATTAAAATTAACTCAATCAAAATACAGTCACATGCTCTGACAGTGCCCAAAGCCAAAAGCATAAAACACTATAGGAAGCTGCATAAGAGAAACAAATTATGGACTCTTGAAACATATATAAAGATGTTTTTGTTGAAATGGATTTTACATGTAAATATTTATATTTATGAACATTTAAGAAGTCAGAAGGATATACCAAAGTAGAAACAGAGGATATCTTAGTGATTTAATTTTTTCCTTTAGCTTATCTGTATTTCCTGTTTTTTCTGCTTTAATAAAATTGTATAATGAAAATAATATGCCTGGCTAAACCAAGCAGCTGGTTTTAAGTGCACATTTGGACATTTCTTTGCAATAATTATCTTGTACTAACAACAATATTGATAAAAGATGTGTTTCCAGTCAGTGTGACCATTATTGAACTGTAAAATGTTGAAACGTTCACATAGGTAGATGGAAAAACTGAGTCTATTCGAGAAATACGTACTGACCACCTATTGTGTGCACACCAATAATCTAGGTAGTATGGCACAGTGGTTAAACAGGACTTTAAAAATCAGAAAGACCTGGATTCAAATACAGATTCTGCTATTTACTAACTGTGTTGCCTTGGACCAATTACTTAACCTCTCTAAATCTTGGTTTCCTTACTTAACTGCAAAACAAAGTTATTAAGAAGCTGAGTAAACACTATAAAATATTAAGCACAGTGCCTAATATAATAATAAAAATCCAATAAATAACAGGTATATTATCATTATTGTAACTAAGCATTTTCTTGTAGGTTTTTTAGCTTTCCATACCTTCATGCCTTACAAGGTCAGTCATGATCTGACACCCCCACCTACCTCTTCAAGTTTCCCTTCTTGAATCTTTCCCAACACATGATATAGTCACAGGTCATGATGAAACACTTAAAATTTCTCAACCTTTGCATATACTGTTTCCCTGGTCCAATATGCCTCTGCTGTCTACCATCCTGAGCACAAGAGACTCATCTATTTGTCCTTTCTGACTCTACCAAAGTGTTAACCTCACTTTTCCAATATTTGTCAGATATCCTTGCTCTATACTCAG